TATATATATAGTCACATACGTCCGTTTGGATCCGTTGCGGCTGTACTTGAGGCGATTGAGTTTCTGAGCAGTGCATCTAGTACGGATTCTTGTATCTCCGCACGTGGCTGTTGCAGTTCTAAACGACCCGTCAGCATCAGTTGCTCGTACATATCTCCGCGTTCCATGAGGAAGAATAGCTTTATGGATCTGTAGACGATATGGGTTCATTTGTGATGAAGCTTTGTTTGTGTGTAATTACATACAATGTGTCGATATTCATACGCGTTAGTGGGCTGTAACTAGCAACGTTAGAACCAGTTGTCCGTGCATATCCCGGTGTTCTATAAGAAAGAAGGGCACTCTGGATCTGCAGAAGGTACTCTTTCAGCGTGAGTTTGATGTGATGTATATCTCACTTGCTCACGGTTACACTCGCTAGTTGATATTCGTGAGTCCATTGTTGTGTGATATACGGAAAATGAAGCAGGATTTGCATACACACGCCAACCTGCTTTGAAAGCGAGGTCTGAACGATGAAAGGTTCTATGCGTTGTATCACCTTAGAAGTGTTCTGTGAGGTATATGTGGTATATGTGGCATATGACAATTCAAACCGTCCCGTCAGCATCAGTTGCCTGTTTATGACCACTCCTTGTACAAAGAAGGAGAGCTATATGGATCCAGAGCGGATATAAGATCGAACAGCTTCTCTATATATTCCATTATCTCTCTATCCAATTCATAATTGATCAGCATTGACTGATCTGAGAATAAAACGACAATAGTGTCCTCATACAAATGACTCGTATAGACTCCATTCATTTGGTGGAAAAAGAGAATAATATGCAGCTGTATTGAATATGCGAATTCAAATTATCCCGAAACACCCTACTAATCAGTTCCGCATGAAAATGACACGCTCTCTAAGGTGCTGATATATATATATAAATATATACCGCATATGAGTCATAATGTGCAGATCGTCCCGTAGTAGCCGCAGTAATTGCTCGCTTGCGAAGTCGTAGGCTTTTTCAATGTCTCGGGCGTATCTGATTGGATGGTAAAATGAACGTCAGCTAAAGGACAAAGTTCGGTACCCTTTGGTAAGGGATCTTATTTTGTCATCTTGACCTTACCAGTTCTTTTACCCTGGTAACCACGACTGTGCTTGTGTGGTGGATTATATATCACCATTCCGGTACAACGAGTGAATATGATTTGCCCTTACGACGTACGTCTAGCTATGCCTACGCTGGTGACAGTAATAGATACAGCGTGTGGAGAAGAGAATATCAAACGTGAAGACCATGTCTCTATAACTTTGTGTGCATTTTTGCGTCCAGGTCTGTATCAGCAATACATGCGCTTATTACAGATCAGGCCAAAACTCACTATACACGTGACAGCTGTAAACGTCATACTACACGTGACATCTGTAAACGTCATACTACACGTGACAGCTGTAAACGTCATACTACACGTGACAGCTGTAAACATCATACGCGTGGGTATCACTACACACGTGACAGCTATAAACGTCATACGCGTGGGTGTCCGTTGTGTATGAGATCTGCGCAGCAAAGGGACACTTCGCAGCGGCACCCGAAGCTGTGGCAACATTGAGATACTTGCCCGCCTTAATGATCTGCGAGTAGAGGCGGGAAGGCGGGGGGGGGGGGGAATATCGGTCAGAAACTTGGTTACAAAATCGATTGTGTATGTTTACACCATTGTCAGAGTAGAGAGGGAGGAATATCGGTCAGAAACCTGGTTTCAAATCGGTTGTGTATATTTACAGGACTGTCATATTATTACAAGACTCTGCCTGTTTTGTTGTGTATATACAACACTATGCTGGTCACGGAGTAACTTTAATATAATATGTTTGTGAGTTTACAGGAAATATCTCGGTGTAATTTAAACCTACGAATATTAAATGTACTTGCACAATTATGCACGTGTTAAGCACATGGGGATAGAGAAAGAAGCTGAAATTCACAGTAAATACTTCACAGTAAATATAAGACAACTGGAATGCGTTGGAAGTCGAATCTGGCTTATGCGTCTGTTTTACGCACACAGACACTCGAGCGACTTATATAGACATTGGAACCAATACAATTGAAAGTTATAAAAAAAATGGTGCACCAAGTTAGCTGCGCTTGGGCTGGGTGAGAAGATTGTTGTGCGTATGACTATATTTATATACACCTAATGGCGATGTTGAATGTGTTACGAACACTAGAAATGCATGCTGCACATTAGTGGACAGGAAAGTGAACGCAGAGTTATATATATAGATACATGTATATATAAATACATGTTTACACATGAATTTTACAGTGAAGCATGCGATACTCTGGGAAAATCATCTCCGCATCCTACCTTCTCCATATACGGGAACAGGAAATCAGGACACATGGCTTCGTCTAACTTGTACTTGCGTTCCCAGTACTCTTCCTCACTTAGTGCATGCCTATTTTTTATTGGCGGAGACTCTTGAACCAGAAACTCCCTGAAGGGATCGACTGCAGTGTTATAAATAGAACATACCATATTCGGATATCATTCGAATGAGTAAGCAAGGCTACAAGGAATGACCTCTAGACTGCGTGTGTGCGAAGTAATGCGAAATCGCTCACTGTAGAGACCAACAATACATACGCGCCTAACAGTCCTATGTATGTATTTGATCTAGTGCTTTCCAATAGACTGAGGTCCAATACATGCGTATCTCTCCTACGTATACGATGACATGTATTTATGTAGATAAAAGTACGCAAGACTGTCGGATGGATAGGTATGGAGAACATACTACGAACCGACGCACACAGACGCAATGCGATACACAATGCTACACCCCAAACACCTTTCAATCCAATGTATACACATCGCGTTTGTGAGTTTTTGTAGGGCCACAAAGACATTCATAAATACATGTACACATTCAATTATATATATATATATATATATATATATAAACACACACAACCTGACTCCATCGCGCCAGAGTTTACAGGCAGAACGCACAGTCGTACGACTACATATCTGCACAAACACCTCACTGGAAGTACACGCACAACTGCAACCACATGTACTTATAAATTTTATGCACACGCACACATACACTTATATATATTTATATATGCATGATATATATATATATATATATATATATGTATACCACCTTCCAGTAGCATATATATTTATATATTTATATATACATGATATATATATATACCACATTTCAGTAACATACATACTTATATATTTAAATATACATGATATATATACATATATCACTTTCCAGTAGCATACATACTTATATGGTTATATATACATGATATATATATACCACCTTCCAATAGCATACATACTTTTATATTTATATATACATGATATATATATACCACTCACGCAAGGGCCTCAAGCCTCCCCTCCCCCTATATCAGAGCATGCGTAAGCATATAGACATTTCATTGTACACACATACACACCTCACCCTGAAAGTATCATATATATTATCTTCTTCATGCAGTCGGCGCGTCAGCGTTGCGGCGTACAGCGCACACGCATACGTATAGACACACACACAATGTCCTGTATATGGGACGCATACTGCCCGTTTTAGATTACGGATATAGGGCTTATTCGTATTTTTTTTACACACCCACACCCACACACTCACTCACACACACATATAGACACATACACACACACACATACATATACACACACACACACACATATATATATATATATATTCCTGCAGCAAACATACCTATAACCCCTTCATACAGCCATCGTCCCAGCGTGTCGAGATAAGGTACGCACGCTCGCTCTGCCAGGTGTACAAGCAAGGCCCTCTCCGGACTCTCCTTGTAGCACTTCATGGCTTCACCGTGCAGCAGGGTAAGTACACCCCCACCTCGAAGTTTGTATTTCTGCATATGTACGTGTACGGATAGTACTAGATTGGTTGGTAGCTATGACAAGTGTGTGCATATCTGCTGACAGGCCAGTATTGGTACCTACCCACATATACATGTATCTACTCGAGCTCCTCTAGAGGTTCGCATAGTATCACTCCACGGCCCAAAAAGCACAGTCGCGATTGATCGATACTGTAATTGTACCACATGCCTGTTGTATATAAGTACGCGTGCACACGAATGTGTCTTTTGAATATATATGTATACATCTACGATCACCCCAAAACGTTACTTCTGAATCTTCGTTTGTAGCTTGACCATATACTACGGGTGCATGCTCTAGTCTATACATCAATGCATGGTCACTGCAATATCAACTATAGTACATACACTTGCCCTCCAACCGTGGTATAAGTTTCGTATTCACATACACGAGTACACTGAAATGGCAGATACAATATCGATACATCACCCCCATACATATGCTTCTTATACAAATATTCACCCTTATTTTCGTGACATATATACATACACTCACATATATACCCTTATTTTCGTGACATATATACTTAAACGCGCATATACACCCTTACTTTCATGACAAACAATACAAATACACGCATACATACCCTTATTTTCACGACACAAACATTAACAAATACACGCATATATACTCATATTTTCTTGACATCAACATATACAAATACACGCATATATACCCATATTTTCATGACGTAAACTTATACAAATACACGCATATATACCCTTATTTTCATG